GTCAAAATCTCATCCCGCGCGCTCTTGCGGATTCGTAGGAAACCCAACACTTTTAAACATTTCTGTCAAACGGGCTTTTGCGAGCAACTTTTTCGAACTTCTGCGACAACGGTTGCGCACCTGCCAGGGCCATCATCCCTGTCAAATAATACCATGCGGGACACATTCGTTTTTTCTTCGCGCGCGCACGCCGAAATCTCCAAAAACCATTGGGCTTCTTAAGAATTTTAGCACCGCGCATCATAAAATCACACGAATCGCACCGTAGGTCCTCGAAAAACATCGCATCATAAAAACACCTGGCACGGTCATCCGTGCCATCAGGCACGGGCGTATGCCAGAAGTTGACGAGCACACGAACTCGTCTCTTTAGAGCCGCGGCGGGGAAAAGACGGTGGGTGGGCGTGCAAGCGCCGTTCCCGCCCCTCCTCTCTCTTCTCTCCTTTCCTCCTTGTCCTGCTCCTCCTCCTCCTCCTCCTCCGGCGGGGGGCGTGAGGATCCGGCATCGTTCACAACCATCGGGACAACCATCGGGACAACCATCGGAACAACCATCGGGACAACCATCGGGACAATCATCGGGACAGTCATCGGGACAACGATCGGGACAAGCACAACCATCAGGACAACCATCGGGACAATCATCGGGACAACGATCGGGGCAACCACAACCATCAGGACAACCATCGGGACAACCATCGAGACAACCATCCGGACAACCATATCCTCTCTCTCTTGTGTATTCCCACATCCCTCAGGAATTTGCCCTAAAGATGTGATCAACTATCTTGTGAGTACGTATCATGTGTATCATGTGTATCATGTACCATATGCATCATATGCAACAGATGTTCTGTGGAAGGCTTAACAACTTCTGTGGGTTAACAAGGCTTAACAACTTCTGTGGGTGTACGAACGTAGGCTTAACAACTTCTGTGGGTGTGTACTCCACGCCAGTGTAGTAGCCACGGTCGTCCGCAGGCCACGAAGTGAAGTGTCCGAACGTCATAGGGCGGGAAGCTGGGTGTGGGTGGTGGCGAAGAGTCGTGTGGATATTTGGTAGAGCTTGCACTGCCCCCCCACAAAGTGGGGGTATTGGCTGGCGTCGCATGAAAACCCTGGCACTGGTGAGAACACTGAGCGTTCGGGTAAAGTGATTGTTGTTGGTGTTGTTGTTGTTGTTGTTGTTGTTGTTGTTGTTGTTGTTGTTGTTGAATATTATTATTCTAAAGAATAATTATTGTTGGGCCCCCTGGTGCGCGCCCCCCCCGCCGCGCCTAGGCCGCAGCTACATTTTCATCATTTTCGTGAGGAAGCCTCAGGTAAAACGATGTGATCCAGATCCGGTTGTTTTGTTGTAATCCGTTTTCCCTTGCAAAAAACACTATAAAATGACATTTCTTGTTCTAATATAATCAAATTTCAAGAATCCCTTGCAAAAAATAAGGTAAAGTGGACATTCGCGCGCGCAAGACGAAATCCTTCCAAAAGCTTAGTGTTCGGAGCGATTTTAACATAAAAACATCAAAAAACCAATGGTTTTTCAACAAAAAATGTCAAAATCTCATCCCGCGCGCTCTTGCGGATTCGTAGGAAACCCAACACTTTTTAAACATTTCTGTCAAACGGGCTTTTGCGAGCAACTTTTTCGAACTTTTCGAAACTTTTCAACTCTTGTGTATTCCCACATCCCTCAGGAATTTGCCCTAAAGATGTGATCAACTATCTTGTGAGTACGTATCATGTGTATCATGTGTATCATGTACCATATGCATCATATGCAACAGATGTTCTGTGGAAGGCTTAACAACTTCTGTGGGTTAGCAAGGCTTAACAACTTCTGTGGGTGTACGAACGTAGGCTTAACAACTTCTGTGGGTGTGTACTCCACGCCAGTGTAGTAGCCACGGTCGTCCGCAGGCCACGAAGTGAAGTGTCCGAACGTCATAGGGCGGGAAGCTGGGTGTGGGTGGTGGCGAAGAGTCGTGTGGATATTTGGTAGAGCTTGCACTGCCCCCCCACAAAGTGGGGGTATTGGCTGGCGTCGCATGAAAACCCTGGCACTGGTGAGAACACTGAGCGTTCGGGTAAAGTGATTGTTGTTGTTGTTGTTGTTGTTGTTGTTTGTTGTCGTCGTCCCACCCGCGACCCACCCGCGACCCACCCCGCGACCCACCCCGCGACCCACCCCGCGACCCACCCCGCGACCCACCCGCGACCCACCCCGCCCCGCACCCGCGACCCACCCCGCGACCCGCCCGCGACCCACCCGCGACCCACCCGCGACCCAACCGCGACCCACCCGCGACCCACTCCGCGACCCACCCGCGACCCACCCCGCGGCGTACCCGCGACCCATCTGCGACCCACCCGCGACCCACTCCGCGACCCACCCGCGACCCACCCCGCGACCCGCCCTCAAGGGAGAAAAACCACCCGGACCTGAGAATTGACGTTTACTAAAACGGCCATGGGCGTTGACTAAACAGCCCTGCCCTGTTCGATTCATTCCTTGTGTGCGTTTACTAGGGACTTCTGCCCTCCACACCCGCGGCCCACCCGCGACCCACCTGCGACCCACCGGCGACCCAACAGCGACCCACCCGCGACCCATCCGCGACCCACCCGCGACCCACCCGCGACCCACCTGCGACCCAACAGCGACCTACCCACATTGGTTTAACGAAAAGTTCGGCGCTTGCGGCGGGCTCTTTGTCTACTTTGTGGAACTTTGGCGCCTGCGGCGGGCTTCCCCGGAGTCTCGCAAACAGCCGACGTCGCCACCGCCCCCTCACTCTTATGCGCATCTTCGGGGTGCTACGTTATACAGATACAGATGTACATATATGTATATATGTATACTTGTTTGCATGATTATATATACATATATATACACATATATATATGTACATAGTATGCACATGTATGTGTATGTATGTGTGTTTGTATGTGTTTATATAATTTGATGTATTATAGTAAAATACAACCGAACATATGTTGTACTACAGCGTAGTATACCATATCACCATACAGTATAATACGACCTGATATATAACTTGTAACACGATGAAACATCATATAGTCTATTCCACTTTATTATAGTATACTGTGTTATAACATAGTATGACATATCGTACTATAGTATAATTCAACATAATAGAATACAATCACAAAAAAACAAACACAATCTAGTGCATCATACATTAATATAGCGTACTTTAGTATATTATAACGTAATTCAACCTAATATAATGTGACATAATCACACATATATTTTAATTTAATGCAATATATCATCATATGCCGCGTTGACACGGCGGCGACAACTCGGCATCAATCAAATCTGCTTCTACGATATCTGCGTCGCACCCACCGCGGGCGACGCGCGTGCCGAGACATCTTCTAATATAAGCTCCGTGGCGGGCGGTTCCTGGCCGCGCCGCTCGGGAAACGGTACGCTACACGATGTTAGTGTTACATGTTCGGTTCGGTTGGGTGCTTCCAACAGAGGCGCATTGTGCTAGAATGTCTTTCTGCGTCCTAACGCCAGCTCGGACGTTCAAACTTTAATGCCGCCAGTGGCCCAGAATCGGCCGATATCGACAGATCGGCGATATTGGAAAGACGCGATCGCTCAAGCTTGAACGAGCCACGCGGTAACAAAAAACCAGTGTCGACGTCATCGCGACGTGAATCCGCCATACCCACGCCGATCCTGGCCAGGCCCATCCTGGGCCCAGGATCGGTGCAATTGCCCAGACGCCCGGCGTCTCGAACAAGTCGGGATGGAGGTGTTTCGTCGTGTTCGGCCCCTCGGGGCCTCGATCGGGCCTCGGGGCCGTCGGAACACGACTCGAGAGGACCAACGGGTCCTGGGGAGCTGGTTGAGCGATCGGGGGCCCGCGTCTCGGAACAAGTCGAGGCGCCGGATGTCCGGGTGTGTGTGCCTTCCTGCCGGATTCAGGAGAGCGTACTCCAGATTTCGTAATAAAAGGGAGGGGGTCTGGACCCTCCAAGACAAGCCATTTCAGAACCCCCCCGTGAGAGAACCCTCCAAAACACCGTCCCCAGACCCCCCCAGGCCCTCCAAGATAGCCTGGAAGAGACCCCCCCCCGAAATGAGACCCCCCTCCCTTTATTACGAAATCTGGAGTATACGGTCCGATCCTCGGCCCAGGACGAGCTTGGCCGGGGTTGGTGTAGGCGTAAAATTCTTGTCAGGAGGGAAAAAAAACACACAGACCCAATGGATCTTCGATGCCCCAGAAAAGATGGGAAAGTATTGGAAGTGGGGGGGGAAGACGAGAACCCAGAAAACATGGGCAAGCATGGGGAATCTGTTTACTTGTGTGTACTTATTTGTGTGTCCCAGGGCCCCTCCATATTGGCGCGACACGCTGTCCACCTCCCCGTCCCCCAGCGTCCACGCCCCGAGCTTGTCCTGGCCTCGCGCTCCGCGGAGCGGAGCGACACGCTAGTCGCTTGCGCGGCATAGCGTGTCGCCGGGGCCGCCGCCGAGGCACGCCTCTGCAGGAGTTCCCGGCCGCATGCCCTCCTGCCCGAGCCAGGATGGCGTACGCGGTCCGATCCTCGGTCCAGGGCGAGCCTGGCCAGGGTCGGCGCAGGTGTATACGGTAGGCTCACGTCGTGTCGACCGGCGGCGACCCCGCCGCCGGTGTTCAGCGTTGAGCGCCGCCTGCGACCCAGAATCGGTCGATGCTGAACGATCTGACGCTCCGGAAACGGGCGGTAGTTCGCTAGCTTGAACGATCCCCACGGTGTCAGGAACCAGCGCCGTAATCGGCACGACACGAGCCTTAGGGGGCCACATGCGAACCCTACCCCTACCCCCCACAATTTTTGAGGGGGAGGGTGGGGTTCACTTCGCTCGTGACCTCCCGAACGAAGTGAACCCCACCCTCCCCCTCAGAAAACGTGGGGGGTAGGGGTAGGGTTCGCATGTGGCCCCCAAAGCCTGCCCTGGTCGGCGTCCTCTTGAGGATCACCATCCTCGAGCGTGCCAGCTACTGCAGCGGGCGCTTCGGGGCGGGCCTCCGCTTCAGTGCCTCGGCCAGCGCCGCCGCCGGCGGTGGGGGTCTGGAGGGCCAGGCCGCTGCAGCGGCAGGGCTCTGGTGCAACCTCGGGTCGCAGGTCTTCGGGCGGGTCCAACAGCACAGTTGTTCGCCAGGTTATGGCACGGCGTCTCGGCACGATCAAAATTGAGGAGGAGGAGGAGGAGGAGGAACATTACAAACACTGATCTAGGACAGCGTGCGCTGCATGTTTCTGTGCACGCATTGAGCCCCCTGTAGCTTTGGGCGGGCTCAGGACTGGGATACACCCGTGAGAAATCTTGCGAAAAGCAGCAACATTCTTGGACTCCAGACACCGCTGAAGAAAAGCAAGAATATGGATTGGACCTTGTGCGTTTTCTTTGACGTAGAGCCTTCGTATGCCTGGATCTGGGCAACTTTCTCAGCAAACGCTTGGAGTGAAGTCCGCTTTCTTAGCCTAAAACTTAGCTCTGAGCAGGCGTGCAAATGTCGGCCACGCGCAGAGGGGGGTGTAGGCGGAGGGGGGAAGGCTTCTTAGAAGCACCCCTGCTTCTCAGAAGGCGCAGGCCTTCTCTACAGACGTAGGGCCGGGGCCTTCTGAGAAGCAGGGTGCTTCTAAGCAGCCTTCCCCCCTTCCCCTACACCCCCCTCTGCGCGTGGCCGAGATTTGCACGCCTGCTCAGAGCTAACAAGTTTTAGGCTAAGAAAGCGGACTTCACTCCAGGCGTTTGCTGAGAAGGTTGCCCAGATCCAGGCATCCGAAGGCTCTACGCATAGAAAGCTCAAAGAAAACGCACAAGGCCCCCTCTCCCTGCCCCCCTCTGCGCGCCGCCAGAGACCGCTCCAGCATCAGACCTGCCCGAGCGGTGCCACAGGAAGCACGGCAGGAGGTCCTCGACCGCCCTCCGGCCTCCGCGGGGGCCTCTCCTCGCCGGGCCCCTGGGCCGGCGGGCACCAGCTCGGGTTAGGCCGGGCATGTCCTCCTTCCTCCTCCTCCTCCTCCTCCTCCTCCTCGATTAGTGAGTTGTCCGTTTTCGGTTCTCGAGAGGGCGCCGTGGCCGTTGTTTTCCAGGCTTGCGCCCGCCAGGTGTGGGCCTCAGGTCGTTTTCACGAAACCACGTTTTGCTAAAGGGGGGTCTGTCCATCCCCGAACATGAAAGGTTGTTAAACATCGGCCAACCTAGTAAACAAATAGTCGGAGCATCGTCCCAGATTTGTTTTTTGGTCTTATTTGGAAAATTCATCCTGTAGAGGGACATGCCCGACTTAAAGCTCGGGGTGGTCGGGGCTCCGGGGGGCCCGTACCGAAGAAATCAAGACGTCGCATGTCTGTGGATCTTGGCTGCCTCGATGCGCTCGTTTCGAAACGCAGCAGGAGCTGTGCTTCAAGACGTCTGACGTCCGTGTCAATACGTTGCGTGTTGGCTCAGCGTATTGACCCACGTTTTGGCGAACTTATCGGTTCATACCTACGTTTTCAGTTTACGTCTTGAGCTCTGTATCAATACGCTACAGTCAACCCGCGTAGTAAGGATGGGCAATTTTCCCAAGGGTATTCTTGCATCCTTGCCTCCTCGGTCCATCCTTGGCCACTCTCGTTGGCCGCGCCCCGCTCGAACAGCCTTGAAATTGGCTTCCAAGACCCTTGCATCCTTCTCGCGCATCCTTAATCTACGGGTTGACTGTACGTGATGCGTGTTGCGTTTCGGGGCAGCTAAGCTGGGGAAATATCGCTCTAGCGATTATCCTGTCCCAGTCCAAGCTTGTCCTGGTCCTGGCTTCGTCTTCTGGGATGACCCTGGGGGTTGCCCAGGGGATAGGGGGTTACAAGCGGATGCCAAGGTGGGCTATACCATATTTGGCCCTGAGGGGTGCAAGTGCCCTGAAGGGCTGATGGGGGGCTAGATAGCTCCGCTAAGTGGGCGGAGCCCACTAAGCCTGGATCGCTATCGCCCCTAAGTCATTTGCGACATTTGTAGCTCACTTACAAGACAGGTCGGGCCAGACATAAACCATGTGGGACCAGACATCTACCACCAGAGCATACGGTGTACGGATACCGTTCGCACACCGCTGCAAGTGTTGCTGCGGACAGCGCACGCTGGATTGTTGACACTCGGTTCAAACTGTTAGCCGCTTGGCTAGCTGACCGCATGCCCCGGATAATAAAGAGTATCCCCCTTTACCCCCAGTGCTTCTTATCTCCGGGCAAGACACTATTGGTCGGAGGGGGGGGAGTGGCGAGGCCGAACTGTCTTATCCATGGGACCATGTTACTACGACGACGACGACGACGACTACTACTACTACTACTACTATTACTACTACTACAACTACTACTACTACTACTGCTACTGCTACTGCTACTGATACTGCTACTGCTACTACTACTACTACTACTACTACTACCTCTCGGACTAGACTAGTCCGACGACGACGACGACTACTTCTACGGCTACCACTACTGCTTTTGCTCTTACTATTACGACAACAGCAACAGCTACTACTACTACTACTACTACTAGTACTACTAGTACTACTACTACTACTACTACTACTACTACTACTACTACTACTACCACTACCACTGCCACTGC